GCCAGTAAGAGGATCCAAACCCTTGACCTTGGTGTTATCAGTACCATGCTCTAACCGACTGAGTGACCAGGCAGCCCTTATTTCCCCAGATTCTTATTTCTTCAGGCATCGTAGCACATTCTTCATCCTCATCATAGATTGTTGGCACTATAAGGATGACTCAAAAGGTGAGAGCCACAAGAACAGAGACTGCATCTGGCTTGTTCCCTTGTGCCCAGGGTCTTGCACAGTGCCTGCCAGATGTTGGCCATTTAGTGACTTTTGTCTACTGGCTCTAGGTCGTGGAGAGCTCTTCCAGACCCAATGCTAACTTGATATAGTCACTTAATGGTGATGATGGTGATGATGATAATGATGATGAAGATAATTCTGTTGAAAATGAAAAAGATAAGCATCATTTTCCCCACTATTATTTCAGGAGGGTGATGCCAGCCCCCTGGCTGCTGTTTCACATGGCCTGCCCTTGTGGTCACATGAATTCTCAACTCCCTGATTCCCAAAGGCATGCTGCTTTCTTGGTGTTCCAGTTGGCTGATGCTCTGGGCACTATTTAGCCACACCCATTACTCATTGAACTGAATTCATCCCAGTCCCTCAGATGTCACTGGGCACAGACACCTGGAATCTTGCCTGAGTAGTCCACTTATCCCTTAACTTATAACTCAACCCAACCCAAACTCTTTTTGCTCAGGCATATTCTCCAGCTGAGAGATTTGGGTGTTTCCTCTTGAGTCCACAGGTGCTAGTGGTTGAATGAGATGCCTTGATCAAGCTCCAGGCTAGATGCAGGCATGGCAGAACCTGAGCTATGCAGCAGAGTTCCCATATGGTTGAAAGATGAGCCTCGGAGAATTGGGAACGGTGTCAGCCAGACACCCGGTGCCAAGTAGTACAGATTTAAAGATTTCTTGATACTCCTAGACAGCTGAGTAGAGATTTTATCATCGGCAGCAAATGCAGCCAGCCCATCGTTGCCTTGGCAGCATTTGTGGAAATAATTGGAGCACTGAGTTGACAGGACACCAGTGTGGGGATGTCTACGAACCTTCTCTTGGTGCTTGTGTTGTGTTTTGTGTTGAATTGTGTATACAGGATTTCTGGGAGTGAAGAATATTGCCCTCTACTGGGACTCTAACTTTTTTTATTCAAGCAATTTAACCAAAAATGTTTTTATTAACAGCAACTAACGGGCTTGGTGGAAACTGAAATATTTGTAGTAATGATGCTGAATATTAAGTTATAGAGGGGATTTCCAGTTCTGATATACTCTTGCCTCCGCCTGCTGTAGGAATGTGGGGAAATCAGAAGACGTATCTGTTATTGGTATTCAGACAATTCACCCAGAAACTTTTCCCTGTACTTATTTTCTACTCTGGGTATTAATTAGGGCAGGTCTCCCTCTAGAACATGTACTCTTGTTGAACGGTATGGGAGTTTCCGATGATCTCTTTCTGAATGGAATCCAATTATTTATTTATTTATTTATTTATTTAAAAGATGACTGGTAAGGGGATCTTAACCCCTGACTTGGTGTTGTCAGCACCTCGCTCTCCCAAGTGAGCCAACCAGCCATCCCTATATAGGGATCCAAACCCATGGCCCTGTTGTTATCAGCACCATACTCTCCCAAGTGAGCCAAGGGCCGGCCCTGGAATCCTATTTTAGATATACTAATGGGACCACTTGTAAAGCAAAGACTTCTTTTCTAAAATCAGTCCTAATGTAGTTATGATTTTTAACTATTGGTATTACAAACTCAAGTTTCTCCATATTTGTAAAACCTCATAGTAATCTCATGATCCATGGGTCCTCCAAAATTATTTTGATGAAAGAAAACTCAATGGTGAATAAATTGCTAAAAATCTAATTTACAATCTACAGGAATTAGCAAGTAAGGCACTTTGAATTTGGTAGGGCACCGCTTTTCAATAGAGTGACCCACACTTATGAATCCACTTTATAGAGCTTTATAGCACACATATATGTATTTGTATGTAAATATATAGACACACGTAGAAATAAAACTTTCCTGAATTTATCTACCTTATGCAGTGCACCCTGATATTTTCTATTGTTTCTTTTTTCCTTCCTCTCTTTATAATTTCTTACTTCTTCCTTCCTTACGTCTATTTTTCTCTTGACCCATCAAATCAGTTTCATCGTCCAGTAAGCCGCAATTCAAAATATACTGCATTAGGGATAAAGATTTTCTGCTTTCTCTATCCATTCCTTTCTCCAGGTTTCTGATGTGTATGTGTATTTCTTTTCTTTTTTTTTTTTTTTTTTTTTTTTTTTTTTTTTTTTTTTTTTTTTTAGTAGCTGGCTCGTATCAGGACTGAACCCATGATTTTCTTTAAAAAAAAAACCCAAAACTCTCTGCTCCCAAACTTTAGGTCATATAGACCTCTAAGAAGTGCCTTCCATGAGAGACTTACCCTGAGGTGCTGTAGGAAAGCCCTTCTCTGTTTACTGATTGAGAAAGGCCCACAGTATTACCTCTGCTGTGGCTTGGGAATAGCATTGTTTAATAATAATCAAATTTTAATAATAAATATTTATTAAGCAATTACTGTAAGTCAGACATGGACTCAGTACTTTATGTGCATTATCTTATTAAGTCCTCACAACTACCCTGTGAGACAGATATTGTTACTTATCCCTAAGTTACACACAGGAAAGTGAGTCATGAAAGGTCACACAGAGGGCCACCTGAGTTGAGCTGAGTCTTATCCACACCCTCACACCTCTCTGCCAGGGGTCCTGTTGGAACAGCTTTTTCTTAAGCATATATTTGACATTGGTAGAGCACCTTACCCTGCTTTAACCATCCCTGTGTGTGTTTGACAAACATTCACTGACCTCTCCTCCTATGCCCCGGGCACTTTGCTAGCCACTGGTGATAGACTTGGAATGACATGGTCCCATCACATGACTGTCATGCAGTGTGATGAGGATGGGGATGGCTCAGTGAAAAGGAGACCCCAGAGGGAGCAGGGCAGGTGGCAGGTCATCCATGGCAGGCAGGCTCCCACCACCCTAGTATGTTTCTGGTCCTCAGCTCTCAGGGATTGGGGGCAGGGTGAGGAGGGTTACAAGGGCCAGGTTTCACTGACCCTTTGTTAGCTTATACAAACAAACCCTGAAGAAAGTACATATTGGCCAGCTCGGTGGGATAACAAACACTTACCTTCAGGTTCCTAAGGGAGTAAAGTAGCTTTTCTTTTCATGGTTGTCATCAGTGGGGATGCAAGAGAAAAATTAACCTTTCTCTAAAATGAGTCAGGTTATTCTGTTATCTAAAAGAGAGGGTCCGGGAAGTAATTCATTAATTTAAATGAAAAATAACATGTGGGAGGTTCAGGAAGATCAAAGCTTTCCATGTTCATGTGGCCTTGTATTCTCTTTTCACCCTGGGCCTACCTCTTCTCAGCACCATGTTGCTTACATGCCATTGTAAACCTAGCTTCTTGAGATTGTCTCTTTTCCCTACATTTTTTTAGGCCACAGAGAAAAATACCTCATGTACTGTTTTGTGCTAACATTAGTTATCTGAAGACTTGCAAATAACATTGGTCTGCCCAGATGAGATAAACTGCAAGCAGACTCTGTCTTCCAGGCCCTGGCTACTCAGACGGACAGCACAGCCCCCACAGCACCTCGGAGCTTGTCAGAAACTCAGCCCCAGGGCGCACACACTGCATTCTAACAAGACCCCAGGTGATTCCTGTGTACGTGAGAGCTTGAGGAGCACTGGGTGAGGCCAGGCTAGGCCAGCTGTATTTTTCCCAGGTGTGGAAGGAGCATCCTAGGCTACCCTTTGTTCTTGTTGCCCAAGGCATATGCATGTCAGTGGAGCCAGCACTTTGTGCTGCAGCCCCACGTGCTCCCCTGACACTCACCAGTGCTTGGCCATTAACTTGTCTGCTTAATTAAATCCTCAAAAATATATTCCAGTAGGTTTCTGGGTCAAATTAAGCAGTTGTCAAAAATAGGCTTTTTAGGTTATGATGGAAATACAGCAAACGATGCATATTTAAAGTACACCACTTGATAAGTTTTGACGTGTGTATATCAGTGAATCCATTGCCACAATCAAGATAATGAACGTATCTGTCACCCACTCTAGTTCTCTTATGTCCTTTGTATTCTCCCTGCCATCCCCAGGCAACCACTAATCTACTTTCTGTCACCATAGGCAAGTTTGCATTCTCTGGAATTTTATGTAAATGGAATCATACACGATGGCCTCTTTTGTTTGCATGGATTCTTTTACTCAACATAATTAACACAGTTTATGTATATACTTGTTGATAAAATTTTAGGTTATTTCTATTCTCACAGTTTTCATGGGCTCTGGGAAGTTCTGGGCCAGCCCTTTTCGGATCCAAGATAAAATGTGATTCCAGGCCGTGGTAGAGTTGGCAGCATAGTGCTGCTCCCTGCACCCCGGTTCTCCTGTGCAACTACTGTGTGTCTCAGAGGAGGCTTCCCCAGGGGAGACACCTGTTCTCCCAGACACTACTCCTTCTGGAGCTGCCATAGGCAGGAATCACTGTCCCTGTCTAAGGGCAGACTGAGGCCTAGGTCGATGAGGTGACCTGCCCGTGGCAGGGCAGCCACAGTGGCTCATGTTCTCATGGCCTCCCTCCTGTCCCTTGCTGAGTTCTTGGCGGGCCTTACCAGCATCTGTGCTGTGCCTCTGATGGGCCCTGTGGGTGGGAAGTCCAATGCTGGTGTTCTGCAGGAGCATGAAGCCTCCAGGGTCCAGCCTGAGCCTTTCTCAGGGAGTAGGGAGAGTCGACAGGGGTGGGGCTGGGGTCCAGGTTTGTATTGGTGGTGCACCCCTGGATGGGCAGAGTGATTCAGGCAAGGGAAGCAGTTTCTCACATGCACTAAGACTGACCTTGGCCTCTCTGTGTTGTGTGTGACACAGGCCCGTGTCTAGTGTAGTGAATCGGAACAACCGCCTAACACTCGGGGAAACACTTTTTGTTTTCCAGGCACTGCTGGCGGGCATGCGAAACCGTGAGAACAGCTCGCCCTGCCAGGGCAATGGAGAGCAGGCCAGCAAGGGCAGGAACTTGGGCTCCACATGGCCCGGTGAGGAGGAGCCCTGCAACGACATGACCACTCCTTCCTACAAAAAGCCTCTGTACGGCATCTCACACAAGATCATGGAGAAGAAGAACCCTCCCTCAGGGGACCTGCTCAACACCTATGAGCTCTTCGAGAAGGCAAACCCCAGCAACAGCCCTTCCCCACTGCGGCTCCTGAACGAGCCACAGAAGCGAGACTGTGGCAGCGCTGGGGTGGCCACTGACAGTGACCCCAACATCTACTTCCTGATCCAGAAGATGTTCTATATGCTCAACACACTCACGTCCAACATGTCGCAGCTGCACAGCAAGGTAGACCTGCTCTCCCTGGAGGTAAGCCGCATCAAGAAGCAGGTGAGCCCCACTGAGATGGTGGCCAAGTTCCAGCCGCCCCCCGAGTACCAGCTCACAGCCGCTGAGCTCAAGCAGATTGTGGACCAGAGCCTGTCGGGGGGAGACCTGGCCTGTCGCCTACTGGTGCAGCTCTTCCCTGAGCTCTTCAGCGACGTCGACTTCTCCCGAGGCTGCAGTGCCTGTGGCTTTGCTGCCAAGCGCAAACTGGAGTCTCTGCACCTGCAGCTCATCCGAAACTACGTGGAAGTCTACTACCCCTCAGTGAAGGACACAGCCGTGTGGCAGGCTGAGTGCTTACCCCAGCTGAATGACTTCTTTAGCCGCTTCTGGGCCCAGCGAGAAATGGAGGACAGCCAGCCCGGCGGCCAGGTCACTGGCTTCTTCGAGGCCGAGCAGGTGGATACCAGCCACTTCCTGGACAACAAAGACCAGGAAGAGGCCTTGTCTCTGGACCGGAGCAGCACCATCGCCTCAGACCACGTGGTGGACACACAGGACCTCACCGAGTTCCTGGATGAAGCCTCCTCGCCCGGCGAGTTTGCCGTTTTCCTACTGCACCGCCTCTTCCCCGAGCTCTTTGACCACCGGAAGCTGGGTGAACAGTACAGCTGCTATGGGGATGGTGGCAAGCAGGAGCTGGACCCGCAGAGGCTGCAGATCATCCGCAACTACACGGAGATCTACTTCCCCGACATGCAGGTGGAGGAGGCCTGGCTGCAGCAGTGCGCCCAGCGCATCAACGACGAGCTGGAGGGCCTGGGGCTGGACGGCGGCAGCGAGGGGGAGCCCCCGCGGGACGACTGCTACGACTCTTCCAGCCTGCCCGACGACATCTCCGTGGTCAAGGTGGAGGACAGCTTCGAGGGCGAGCGGCCCGGCCGACGCTCCAAGAAGATCTGGCTGGTGCCCATCGACTTTGACAAGCTGGAGATCCCACAGCCCGACTTCGAGGTGCCGGGCGCCGACTGCCTGCTCAGCAAGGAGCAGCTGCGCAGCATCTACGAGAGCAGCCTGTCCATCGGCAACTTCGCCTCCCGCCTGCTGGTGCACCTCTTCCCCGAGCTCTTCACCCACGAGAACCTGCGCAAGCAGTACAACTGCAGCGGCTCCCTGGGCAAGAAGCAGCTGGACCCTTCCCGCATCAAGCTCATCCGCCACTACGTACAGCTGCTCTACCCCCGGGCCAAAAACGACCGCGTCTGGACTCTGGAGTTCGTGGGCAAGCTGGACGAGCGCTGCCGGCGCCGGGACACGGAGCAGAGGCGCTCCTACCAGCAGCAGCGCAAGGTCCACGTGCCGGGCCCCGACTGCAGAGACCTGGCGAGCTATGCAATCAACCCGGAGAGGTTCCGAGAGGAGTTTGAGGGGCCCCCGCTGCCCCCCGAGAGGAGCAGCAAGGACTTCTGCAAGATCCCCTTGGACGAGCTGGTGGTCCCCTCGCCCGACTTCCCGGTGCCTTCTCCCTACCTGCTGTCGGACAAGGAGGTGCGTGAGATCGTGCAGCAGAGCCTCTCTGTGGGCAACTTCGCCGCCCGGCTCCTCGTCAGGCTCTTTCCCGAACTCTTCACCGCCGAGAACCTCCGGCTGCAGTACAACCACTCGGGGGCTTGCAACAAGAAGCAGCTGGACCCCACACGGCTGCGGCTCATCCGCCACTACGTGGAAGCCGTCTACCCCGTGGAGAAGATGGAGGAGGTGTGGCACTATGAATGTATTCCCAGCATCGACGAGCGTTGTCGCCGCCCCAACAGGAAAAAATGCGACATCCTTAAGAAAGCCAAGAAGGTGGAGAAGTGAGAGGCCTGTGGTCTTGTCTAGAGACTTGGGTCACCACTGGCTGAGCGATGGGCACCGCTGGGACTGAGTGTGTTGTTCTGGAGCACGAGATACGGGATCCACAGACGGGCACCTTATGTCAGTGGGGAGCGGCTAACCACATTTGCACACGTGTACACCCACCCTTCCACAAGAAAGAAGCCTCGAACCTGGTCTCTTGTGCTTATGACTTCTGTCCTGTGTTCCCTGGTGGGGAGTGCTAAGCTGTGAGAGGAGAGACTAGGGGAGTGGAGTAGGGGCCCTCTCTCCCTGGCTGTGCCCTCTCTAGCCCCTCACGATTTAAAATCTCTTGTTCCTCTTCCGATGTTCTACATCTTCCATTTTTGTCCTTTTTTTTTTTTTAAATTAAAAAGAAAACCTTTAAAAAAAAAAAATCATTGGGCTCTTCTGGGGCCATTTTACTTAGGAAAAAGATCTTTTTTAAATATTTGAGATGACGTACTGTAAGATGACTTCAGTTGCTGGGATTTTTTTTAAAGATGGTTTCAGATTTATGAAATCTTTAGAAGTGCCATGTTCATGTATGATGGCGAATCATAGCTTCAGGTGACGTAGAGACCGATTTTACTGACCTTGTCTTTTACATCTGATGCTGGAAGAGTCAAGATGCCCCTTGGATGGCAGTAGAGGGGAGGGAATAGTGTAAGTCCTTTCTGACCATACCCAAGTTTTCCCTTCTGCTGTGGTGCCAGGGAAGGCTTGCCTGCGGCGTGGCCTGTCCGTCATTGCCACCTCGGTAGAATGTTGTGCTCACTCTGTGTAGACGAGAACACTGGATAATGATGATGATGATATGAATGTAGGTAGACGTGAAAACACACGTTCACAAAGTCTTACTTGAGCTGTGCCCTTCCCCTGCCCCATTCCCTCTCCATACGTCGGTGCTGGTTGGAGGGGCAGGCAGCTTGGTTTCCTTAGAAAACAATGGGGGTGGGCATTTGGCTTCCTGTTTAATTTAAGGGTGGGCCGCTTTAGGCTCACTGAGAACTGTTTACTTTCCGTGTGTGTATTTGTACAAAACCCAGGTTCTGGAAGCCGTGTGGTGACGTCTCCAGACCTTTGTCAGCTCCTCTAGGCAGCAGCACGTCCTTGTTCCTCAGGGCAAGCCAGACCTGGAGCCCTCTCGGGGATACCTGGCATTGGAAGGACACAGGTCATCTCAAATTGGGCTCCCATGTCCCTTCCCAGGGTCCATTCAGGTTTTCCCTCAGGCCCCCTAAAAGGTCCTGCTGTCCCATACCTGGCCTATCCCTTGGCTTTGGGGTGCACATCTCTCTTCTCCCTGCTGATTGGGAAGTTCAGACTACTCCAGGCCAGTGACGTGCTCCGCAGGAGCACCAACCAGGAAATTCCCCAACAGGTAAAGTCCTTAAAAACAGTACTTCTACCTGTGTAATTTTGGGGGCCAGATACCTAAGAAGGAAAGGAAACAGTATATCCCAAACTGAATACATTATACAAGAGACCTGGAAAATTAATCAAATCCCACAGGTTAGTAAAATCCTTGTGGAATGTTGCAGATTTAATAACCTAATGGCTTAGTATTGTACTACCTTAAATGCAGAAATAATAGAAACAATTTATGAATTTTCTTTATGCAGCTGATAAGGACTTCAGTTCTGGTGGCTGTATGTCATAATTTTGTCTGTATCCAGTGGGCAATTTTTTTTTTTTTTTCCTTTTTGTCTTTTTTCGTGTCCGGCAACGGATCGCAACCCTCAGTGTTGCACCCGCACCTCGCTCAGCCAGTGAGCGGGAACCAGTCTGTATGTGGGATCCGAACCCTCGGCGGGAGCGCCACCGCACTCCCAAGCGGCGCACTGTAGAAGTGCGCCACCGGGCCGGCCCAGGTGGGCAATTTTTTTAATGACATAGGATTTTGAGCAATTAAAGTTGCTGATCTAACTTTTTGTTTTTAAATGTCATTTATAGATTATTTCTGTTGAAACTGCAAACGTAAATTATTGAAATTTAGAAGTGCACAGGACTTTGACCTTCTCTGTTGCACACACCCACACCCACCCACACGTGCACACACACTTTTCTTATTACTGAAAACTTAAGTGAGATGAAGGGGACCTACGTGAATAACAAATTTGACTTCTTTATGCCTGGAAAGGAGAGACTGGAGCAGCCAGAAGAACTCCCTTTTCCCCCTCACTTGGGTCTTTTTATATGCCTTAGTCTCTCCAACACACACACACACACACAGCCTACCCAAAGATGGCTGTGGCACTCTCCTGCCAGCCCCGCTGGTTGGGGGTCCCGTCCAATTTGTTCTGGTCTCTAGGGTGTATCCAAGAGGACTGCAAGCCATGTGAAAATTGCCCTGCTTTCTAGAGGGTGGAATGTGACCCTGCAACTTCAGAAGCACAATCATTTATTAATAGTTTTTTTCAAAATTCCTACCTACCCACAATAGAGAATTCACTAGGTTCTAGTAATTAAATATAACTCTTTGCAACCTAGAGCATGTTAGAAGTTTTGGAAACTGTATTTTGGCGGTTTTCTTAATACCTTTCCTGTGTAGGGCTTCTTCCTGCAAAATCTTACAGTTCCTTTCAGTGGAGAGAGGTGGACACACTCTGGGAGCTGGTTCCTGTCCCTGTTCCTCTGGACTATCATCAGGAAATGCCTGCAGAGCCTGTGTTCTGTCTGTATGGTGTCCTCACTTCTCCATCCATACAGGTGGCTCCAGTAGGTGTTTTTTTTTTTTTTTACGTGAAGCAATAGAAATACAAAATACTTATTTTTTCAAAATTTAATGTGTTCTATAAAATCTGTTGACAACCCCTTTACTTCCCCCCATCTAAATTCTTTGGTTTTACTTGTTTATTTTTTGGATTTTTTTTTTTTTTTTGCTTTGTGTCCCAAGGACTAAGAATTAGCACAGACACATTCTGATGTTAAGTAAAATAGTAAGTCACAATAGGTGATAGTGTTCATCATTTTCTCTGTTAGTAAGTTTTTAATGAATGTGTGAAGATAGTCATGAATGTACTGAGTGTTCGAATCCTGCTTCAGTTCACCTTGGCTGTGTCTACATGACAACAAACGTTTGACAGGGAATAGAGTCACGTCTAATGTCATTAGTGCTAGTGTGCTACTCCCCCTCAGTGTTGGCCCCAGACCTACCTTTCCTTTTAAGTTGCAGGGAGGGGATACCACATCAGCAGCAATCATCAACCAACCAATGGGATCTACTCAGTGGTGAGTGGATTGGCTGTTTAAATGGTAAGAGTCACTGGCCTGACCACACCACACACCACAGCATGGCCTCTTGGGTTCCTGTAGAGATGGCCTCAGTTTCCACCTCCCCCAAGTGTTTCCTTCTTGCCAGATGGAGAGAGGGTTTGGAGACTCCTGGTTGGAGGTCACTGAGCTCTCCCTGCCTGGCTGTGTAGATAGACTGTGTAGATATACTGAAGTGGGGGCAGGGGCCACGTGGCTATTACTGCTCTTCGGAAATACTTGCCTCTCGTAGATCCAGCCTTAATGTTTTTCTGACATCCTAGTAGTAGCAGACCCTGCACAAAGTGGATATCAGAGTTAATACTGTGAGGAGACAAAATAATGAGAATAGTTTTACCAAAGATAATAAAATGTTGCATTATGTCTGCATTTTACCATTGATTTGAATGCATCCTTAGAAAACTGAATGTAATAAAAACCCAGGACATTTTTGGAAATTGTACACTCTCTAGCAACTTTGTGTGAATTTTTATACAAGCACTGTTTTATGAGTTATATAAAATGTTATAAAAATTGAAAAAATGTGGTCTCATAACATCTTATTTTCTTAGAGTGCCGGTCTCAGAACATGTCTTGGTCTATTTGTCTTTCCGTGTGGCCGCCTCACCCGTCTCAGGTGAGAATGTGAATGTTCTGGGGGATTTCTGCCTCTTGGGCTTCCACTCTCTGGGTGTCAGGGGTACAGCTCACAGGATTTCAGTCTGGCCACAGCTGAATGACTGAGAAGTCATCAAATAAATCCTTCAAACCTGTTTATACACAAACTGCTTCCTGGCTGGCCATGCAGTAGGAGGCTCATTTGACCTTTTTTTTTTACCTTTCTTGGTCAGGTGCCAGACCAGCTCTGCCAAGCTAGCAGAGCTTCATTTCACTTTAACCTCTTTTTTTTCCACTTTGGATCAAAAGGGATTTAGCTCTTCAAAGCTGATTCATTATTAGCTGATAACGAAAGGGTGCATGTTTTCCCTCGCCTTCTCTTTTTGGCAAATTATAAATCATTAACCTTAAGTAATATTTCATAGTAAAAATAACATCTCAAGCTGTCAGAGAAACTGTTTTGGGGGCCCAGGGATCACAAAATATAAAGTAAGTTGTGGCTTGTGATTGGAACATTCGTGAGTGCTTGCTTTTCTGATTTGATAGCTCTGAAATCTGTACAACTGACTGACACATCTGTACTGTAAGCCTGTTCGGCAGGTCTGCTCTGGTCGGAGGCTGGAGCCCCAAATGTTAAATCCTCTAGCCAGTTGAAGCAAGAAATGAAGAAAGGCTAAATTCTTCAAGCCCCTTCTGGCTGTGGGTTTCTTTGTTTTGTACCAAAGTGAAAATTCAGAGTGTTTCAGTATATGAGAGCATATTTGCAAGACCTAGTTCTCAGAAATAACCCCACACCAAATTAATTATGATCATTGGAATTGTGAGGTGCAGTGTACTCTTTAAGAGAGTATCCAGATAAATCCAAAATCCCTGGCCAGTGGTGGGGAAAGGGGGGAATATTCACTACCCATTGGCTGACACTCACCTAACATTCACTGACTATATACCATGGGTTAGACACTGTAAAGAACTGTACCTGGCTGATGTCTTGTGAAAGCCCCGTGAGCAAGTTCCGTAATTATACCTTGTTAACATGCGAGAAAGCTAAAGCTCTGAATGGTCTGTACACTATCTCATTTAATTCTCATAAAAAAAACTCAGTGTCGTGGGCA